TCCTGGAGGGCCGGTGTTCTGCAGATTTTAGCTCCAACCCTAATCAATCACACCTGGACAAGCTAATCAAGGTCTCACTAGGTATACTTGAAACATCCAGGCAGGTGTGTTGAGGCAAGTTGGAGCTAAATCCTGCAGGGACACCGGCCCTCCAGAACCGAGATTGATAACCCCTGATTTAGATAATCATTCATAGCATGTAGCTAATCGTTATTAGCACTTGGCTTTAATTATCATTGTTACCATGCATAGTACACAGGAAGTCCCATTTGCTAGCATGAGTCAAACAAGCCAATGCCCAGGTCCCTACGATGTTCTGATGTAGAGATATTGCTATTTTTAAATGGTTGCTAGGTTATACTGTTTTATTGCTATGGGGACATTTGGCAGGTTAGTGATGATACATCAAAGCTTCTTGGCAATATGAGTGATCTTAATCAACCCCGATGTTTCTATGACAGTATTTATGAGTGTCAAAAACTGGACTTGAACATTATGTATTCCTGGTGTTGGATTGCGGCTGGAAGGGCATTCGCTGTGTAAAACAAATACTGGATAAGTTGGCGGTTCATTCCGTTGTGGCGACCCCTGATTAATAAAGGGACTAAGGGAATGAACATTATGTAAAAATGTCTTGCCGTATTGAATTGAAAATACATTGCTTAATAAGTGTAAAAGTGATAGATGCAAAAACGGCTTGCCGTATCAGTAAAAAATATGGAGTTTAAGTCAAAAATGGCTTGCCATATTTTGAGAAAAATAATGCTTAAAAATTATTTATTGGAAAACTATAAGTCTGATAAACCTTAAAGATATAGCAACAAAATCTAACGCATCTAAATACAGCTTTTGGCCAAATTTGGGGCTTGTATAATTTTTTTATATGCCCGGATTATAAAATCTTAATATTTAACATTTTTTATTAAAAGAACGATAAGTCTTATAGGCATGAGGAGATATAGCAACAATCTTGAATGCAGAAGGCACATTTTGACCACATTTGGGCCTTGTGGCATGAACGGCCTAGGAGGAGATACATTTGTTTTCAAGGACAGAGTAGTATAACTTTCTCAAGCCAACATAATAAAAATAGCACCTTTTCATTTTCTATAAGTTTTAGTACATGGTGTAACTACAGAAAAGTCATGCTTTGAATAAGAAAATAATTGAATTGGGGGGGGGGGGGGTGTTTGGTAGTTATAAAATGAGCCTATTTCCCCCCCAAAATGGAGTGTTCCTTTAAAGTTTTCTTAGATGGCCTAAAACTGGGCCAGAGTTTGAGACCTCATAGCATCCCAACCACCGAGAGCTGCTTGTGTGTTACTAAATGAGACCAAGTGTGCTTTTGTGTGTGTGTATGCGTTAATATATGGGCATGTGAAAGTGTGTGTGAGTTAATAGATGGCTCTGTCTGAGTGTAGCTGACAGAGGGATTATTCGCTCTCATAACTCGGCAGCTCTGCGGACAGATGTTGCCTGCCAGACACTCGGCAGATCAGCTCGTTTGTCATCCAACAGCAGACCGGAGCGTCCCTGGCCCACACTCTGTGCCTTAAAGACTTCAACACTTACAAGTCCACTTCACTGATATACAGCTGAGCATCTGAGATGTGACCTGCTCACTTAAATGCTTCTCTGCAGCAAAACCCAAAACCTGATTTGACGTGCTCCAGTCATTAGCCATGTTTCCATTTGAAGACGCAAATTAAATTCGTTCATTTTCTTTTAACTTGGTCACTTTATTCAACAGGGGTCGCCACAGCGGAATGAACCGCCAACTTATTCAGCATATGTTTTACACAGCGGATGCCCTTCCAGCTGCAACCCAGTACTGGGAAACACCCATAGACACTCACATTCACACACACTAAGGCCAATTTAGTTCATCCAATTCCTCTATAGAGTTTGGACTGTGGGGGCAACCGGAACACCCGGGGGAAACCCACACGAACATGTGGAGAACATGCAAACTCCACATAGAAATGCCAACTGGTCTCGAACCAATGACCTTCTTGCTGTAAGGCGAGAAAGACCAGAGAGGACCAGGCCTGGAACCTGAGTTGTGTTTGTGTGTGCAGCAGTCATCCGTTAGAGGGTGCTACTGCTTATCTTATTATTTATTTTTATTAAACTTGTGAAACAATCCTTAGTTTTCCTCCCCCTTCCTGATGGCTAGAAAGCCATTGGACCAAGGGAGCCCTGAACGGCCAGTGTCCTGGAGACCCTTATCAAAATTAACCATGGTTTTACTATAGTAACCGTAGATAAACAAAGCTTTTTTTTTTTGTAGTGAAATCATAGTAACCACAAAATGAACTACAGGTTATTTTGTATTTACAAAGGTTTTACTTCAAATGCCATAGTAATACCTTCACTCATTTTGTAGTTACTATGGTTTTTACTTCAAATGCAGTAGTAAAACCCTAGTTTAAATATAGTTCATTTTGTCGATACTATGGGTTACTACAAAAACCATAGTAAAACCATGGTTTGCTTTTTATATACAAAAGTGTTACTTCAAATACCCTAGTAATAACTTGACTCATTTTGTATTTATTTACTATGGTTTCTACTTCAAATGCAGTAGTAAAACCATGTTTTTTTTATTTATCTATTTATTGTATTTACAGTCGTTTTACTTTAAATGCCATAGTAATACCTTGGCTAATTTTGTAGTTACTATGGTTTTTACCTTAAATGCGGTAGTAAAAACCATGGTTTATTTTGTATTTACAATGGTTTTTACTTCAAATGCCGTATAAAAACCATAGTAACTACAAAATTAGCCAAGGTATTACTATGACATTTGAAGTAAAACCACTGTAAATACAAAAAAAAACAACAAAAAAAAAAAACATGGTTTTACTTCAGCATTTGAACTATTGAATGTTCTAACCAATAGGCCCATGTCATGTGCTGTTGGGTAGAAATAAATTTCTTAATAAATAGCCCCCTATAGATTAAAACTATTATTGTATGCTATACATTTTGTTTTGTACAAGCTTTGGAGATTTAACGTAAATTCCACTTTTAAATAATAGGTCTTTTGTCTTGAGCCACGGCTGCATTCAAATTTACATAAATGTTTTCAAAATGCACTACGAAGGGAACGCAATTGTCAATTGCAATTGTAAATATACATTGAAAGCAAATTTCACGTAAGAGAAATGACTTTAATGTTTTTTTCTTATTTTTTTTTTTATTCCAAGTTCAAATGTTGGAACATTCTAAATGAAAAGGGCATAGGGGGGATAACTGGGAATAGAACACAGGCAGGAGCTATGCTTCTATCTACAGCTCTCGCAGTGTAGTTGCAAGTGTACACGTTTTTGAATGTTAGTTGGAACCATGGATTTGAGAAAGACCAGAATCAACAAACTATGTTTGTAACGACAGAACTTGCTACCTTATGCCGAGTTCAGACTGCATGATTTTCAAAGTGTCACAGATGTTTTCACACTGCATGACTATCTGGGCTAGCGTTTCGTCGCTGCTTTGTTTACACTGCAAGATGGATCGGCGACAGGGACATTAACATTGCATGACTTTACTATAGGAATAATCGCCGACAACTTCGTCCAAACTACGTCTCACAGCCAAAAACACGTCGTATATCTTTTGGTATTAACTACATAATGAGAAAGAAGCCTTTAATGGTGTAGAACATGTACATATTTGCTCACCTGCGTTTAAAGGGAATTAGCCATTTCTCCTCAACGTTGATAATAAACTAATTTCTTTCTGTATGAAACGTCAAACAGACACAGTTGCTCCTGAGTCCTGTCAAACCTCCACTAGTTTTTCCTCCATTTTGTGGGTCCAAAAAAACTGAAAAAGAGTTTAACTTCTCCCCCAGCCTCCCGCTGGCCTGCAGCAGGTATACGCACACGCACACACAAGTGAAAGCTGCTCTCTCATTGGCTGTAGGTGATGGCTGATGTTACTTTTTGTCAAAACTCAATTCACACGGCATGATTTGAATCGCAGACAGCTCCAGATATTCAGCCTGCCAAATATCTCACAGGCATCGGCAACTCATCGGCGATTCTCTCAGATCGCGTCTTTGATAGTTCATACTGTGTGATTGTCACTCACGTGCACGAGCAGCGATTTGCCTGTGATTTCAGGCATTTGTCGGCGATTTCTCAAAACCTGAACTAGGCATTAGATGGTTAACGATGGTTTTCAGAAACTCACCCCGCTCTGTGTCTATGAGTGCGAATGACATGTGCGTCTTTTTGATTGATTATTTTGCATGAACATTTTTAACTACAAGAACATTCTGTACTTCATGTTCTGATTATTTTTATATTTGTAAAACTAAGCTAAAAAACTGACAGCGATAGAAAACAAAACATCAGATGCAAGCACTCATTTCAACTTAAATGGAGTAAGTTCACAGTACTTGTATAGATTAGTTTAACTCAAATGGTTTGTTGCAACCGTTTTCCTCAAACGGTTCGAGTTGCTTTAATTTATTGGGTTTTACAGTGCTGTTGATTTGAGTTCTCTTCATTTACTTTTATTAGGTTTTACTGTGCTCAAATTGCTTTATTTACTCAAATTGATTAAGCTCACAGTACTCATTAGGATTAGTTTTTTTTTAACTTAAAGGGTTTGTTGAAATCGGTTTCCTCAAACGATTTGAGTTACCTTCACATTTTGGCTTTTACAGTGTAGTAGCAATAAACTACATTTGCAACCTGAAATTTGCAGTTAATGTAAGAAAGTCTTGATTGTATTAATATGATACCTGCTGAAAACATGTTGATTTTTTGTTGTTGTGTAGGACTGAAAGGTAAAAGGTTTTGATTTCCAGCCTTGTATGCTGGTTTTTAACAGCTGATCTTTGGTTTTCTGAAAGACGACTTTGTTTTATGGTTTCCTTTGTGCAAGAAGATGAATAAATCTGAACAAACACAGTTGTCCCTTTAGATGTGTAATGTGAATGAGGTCAATCTCATTCATGCGTGTTGTGTCTCTGTGTGTTTTATCTGCAGGAACCCGTCTCCTACCCTCCGCCATCCTGAGCAATGGTGCAGAAGCTTCAGTCACTTCATTGCACAGTGAGTACAACAGCTTCATCTCATCGCTCTGTTCCTAGCTACGTTTCCATCCACCAATTTTTATACTCATTTACATGCAGGTAGTTGCTAGTTTGTGACAGAATTTATTATCAAAGTCACCTGGGGCCTCGTGTACGAAGACTTGCGTGGAAATCATACTAAAACATTGCGTATGCACAAAGCTGTAAATGTGCGTAGGCAGAAAAAAATTCAGATGTATGAAACACTGCGTACGCCGAATCTCACGCATATTCTTTTGTACATTTGAATGAACGTAAACCTGAGCGCAACATGCACGAGCGCAAAACCCCTCCCTGCCTCCTCCCCCGTATGAATATGCAAATGACTCTACTTTGGCAAAACCCAATGAAAAAGCAAAGGCAAAAGCAAGCAAGAAGAGAAACTTTGAACAGAATGTGAACTGGAGGTGCTCCTTTCGGAGGTAGACCAGAGGAAAGCGGTGTTATTTGCAAGTTTGTTCTCCGGAATTAACAACAAAAGAAAAAAATAGAGTAGGAGAGTTTAGCTGATGCGGTTAACACAGTTGGGTCTGAACATCGCACTGAGTGAATTAGAAAAGAAAATAGTGTGATTTATATGTGTAAAATGTTGCAGTAGCCTTAACAGTCTCAGTGGCGCAGCTCGTAAAACGCATGTCAACATGTTTTGACAAGTTCGAGCATGAACTCGGTTTCAAATCCAGCATCTGATGAACTCTTTCTTCTTTTTTCCCCCGCTACATATCAGATTTTGCCAACTATTTATCACGAGAAAGACAAGTAGGAATCATTAATAAGTTTGTGCATCATATTTTATTTGCACATTTATTGAATGGAAATGTTTCTGATTTACGTATGCAAATTAATCTTCAGATAGTGTCTTTATAGCAATGTGGGTGCAGTAGATAGCTCAGCTCAAATTACATTGGGAAAACAGGCGACTGCTGCAAATTGTGCTTTAATGTTTGGCTGGTCAACTGCATGGTATGGAAACCTTATATACCTGCTAGATGAACCCGTCTCATACAGCTGCCATTGCAAGACTCAGACACTTTGTAGAGTGCAATTTAACACAACTGCCTCTAGGAGTCGCCAATGAAAATAAAACAGACACGCACAAAAAATGTGCGTACGCAAGCCATAAAGCTGGCGTGGAGCTGCGCACATTCCCACATTCAGTTCATCGTTAGTAAATCCAAACGTGAGCGGTTCTGAGCGTGAAACCTGGCGTATGCAAAGTTTTTGATACATGAGGCCCCAGGGAAGGTATGAAAAATAAAAAACAACAACCTATAATCAGGTAAACAAGATGACAATGCTAATGAAACCAGCTTTGAAGGCTTCTTTTTGTGACTTGTTTTGCTGTAGCTAATGAATATTTTTCATTTCTAATAGAACAAAATTGGCTCACACTTTATTTATAAGGTACAATTCCCATTATTTTAGCTCAAATACTCCCAATTAGCTGCTTATTAACAGTTTTTAAGGTATTGTTGGGTTTAGGTGTTGGGTAGGATTAGGAATATAGAATAAAAGCCACTAATAAGCCAGTAAAGAATAGTGAGAATTTGTCCTTAAACTTTAAAATGCTGTATACAAGTTTTTGACTCTTCTAAAGCCACTCTGCTACTCGTGTAAGTCGCTTTGGATAAAACCGTCTGCTAAATGTAAATGTAGTTCAACCACTGGGTCAAACTTACATACTGCACCGTTAAGCGTAATCCAAAGTTTATTTATTAAACATAGTGCTGTACGAACGCTATCTCACTGCAATTCTTAACGTTTTCTTGTAGTGGCTAATTCATTTGAATTTCTAATCTCATTTGTACAATTTAGTCCTATCTGCTTATCCCTCTATGATGGTTTGGTTTAGGGGTGGGGTTTGGTGTCACGCCCCCTTTTAAAAATTGTACAGGGGAAGTCATTTACATGGAGACACCTTAATAAAATGGGAATGGTTGCTGATATTAATGTCCTGTTTGTGGCACATTAGTATATGTGAGGGGGCAAACTTTTCTTGATGGGTGGTGACCATGGTGGCCATTTTGAAGTCGGCCATCTTGGATCCAACTTTAGTTTTTTTTCAATTGGAAGAGGGTCATGTGACACATCAAACTTACTGGGGATTTCACAAGAAAAACAATGGAGTGCTTGGTTTTAACGTACCATTATCCTTTCATGAGTTATTTACAAGTTTCTGACCACTTATAAAATGTGTTCAATGTGCTGCCCATTGTGTTGGATTGTCAATGCCACCCTCTTCTCCAACTCTTTACACACTGATAGCAACACCGCAGGAAAAATGCCAGCACAGGCTTCCAGCATCCGTAGTTTCAGATGTTGCACATCTTGTATCTTCCGAACGTTTACATTTCTTCATGAGATCAGGCTGGCTGCATCTTCATTTTGTCTTAAGCAGTAATTACAACCGACAAGACAAATTCAGGCGATTTCTGTATTAGAGAAACATTCATTCATTCATTTTCAGCTTAGTCCCTTTATTAATCCAGGGTCCCCACAACGTAATGAACCACCAACTTATCCAGCAGGTTTTTACGCAGTGACCTTCTTGTTGTGAGGCGACAGCACTACCTACTGCGCCACTGCGTCACCCTTAGAGAAACATATAGTGAGAATTTACAGTACATACAGTCTAATTCCTGTAAGAGAGGCTGTAAATTAAAGAGTCCCATCTGTGTGTGTACATAAAAGCAATGAAAAGCCAGGATTATTATTTCATTATTGAGAATGAAAACCTCAGAGAGAGAGAGAGAGATGGCTGGAAGGCTGCAGATGCTAATTGACTCGTTTATTTGTGTTAGCGGTTCATTTGTCAGTGTGGCAGGTCTGCTGGCTGCTCCTGATGAATTAAAAGCACAGGAGGAGTCATATTCATAAAGTGTGTTTGTGCGCGCACTGATGGGGTTGCTTTTCAAGTGCTCTTCGTTAGTGGTTTTGTGAACAAACAGTCTCCCACACAAACGCTTGCTTTTGTGCTTGTGGTTTAAACCCAAGGTTGGCAGCACATTTGGTTGAGGATTCACAATCGCGTCCTTGAAAAAGGCTATTAACCACAGAAGAAGACCGTGTGACTCTGGGAGTTCATTTTTTCCGACATCCTTTTTTCCCCATTTTCTCAGCTCATAAATTTGATGTATGTGTAATGAAATTTGAATCGTCAACCAGATATTAGTTTCTTGAATATAATTTTTCATTGAATGTGTACCGTATTGAAAGTTCCAATCCTGTCTGAGATGACATTTAAAGGCGCAGTAGGGGATTGTCCTCAGAACTATTTTTTTTTTCATTGTGCTGATTGAAAGTCTCTTTATATTCTGATAGTATTGATTAATTGGTAAAAGGTGACCCAATTCCCTATTGATTGCCAGTTAAATGAGACCCAATTCCGATTTTTTTGCTCATGTGTGACACAGATCGGATCTGCATGGATTCGAATATTCAGAGATTGGTTTCAGGCGTCCTTCATATGTGGAAATAAATCAGATATAGATAGGATATGTGACAATGCGACTGTCATGTAAACAGGCAGATCGGATTTATTGAGGCGTTCCATTCTGTATATCATTAAACTTCTGACAATGTGGTGGTGTGGTTTGATGACAGAAAGAAGAGCGTGTGTGGAGATGCCGACGCGGTAAACAACATCAGAGGAAACATAGAGGAGGAATATGGTCAGCCGCCACAATTTGCTCCCACCAGACCTGAGATCTCTCTCGTACCCACAAATTCCTCTGAATGGTGGAGGAAATCATAAAGCATATAAACCATAAGCTGTGATGACGGTCCTTTCCCACCTCCGGCTCAAAATCATTTTAAAGTTGGGCGAACTTTGTGTGGTAACTTTTGCTTTTTGTCACTATTAATACACGCACTGCATCTACACATAGAACAACTTCATTCTCTCACACACCAGTGTGCACACAGGTAAAGGCTACATCTTCAACTACACACACATCAGGGCCATACCATTACATAAACTGCGTGGGGGTAAATCTGTATTAAACCATTCACAGCTTATACTACACTACGCATATTTCGCAGAGCTAAAAACAAGACAATTTCTTCCATCGTGGCTAGTGTGGCACATATGTTAGAACCCGCCTTTATGCATGCGCGACATCGTGAATTGTATAGCAAGTGTAAACGCATGAATTAGATATGGGTCACAATTAAAACAACGTGTAAACAGACAGGCAAACAAATCGGAATTGGGCAACAAGACCTGACAGTGTAAACGGGGCCTAAATGTATTTATATGTGTTTTCTAAGTTTGGTGTAAGGCGTAGTACTTAAAAGTTTGTTTCGTCCAATTAAAATGTATGTACACTGTAAAAAATGCAGGGTTGCAGGTAATCTGGAGGGGAATAAAGTGTGCTGCCTTCAAAAATCTGTCCACCGCAGTGAGGACTGCTGTTTTGCCACTGGATAGGGGTAATCTAGGGCCTACTCACACTATGCCATCCGTACCGTGCCTAGGCCCGTTTCCCAGATCGTTTGAGAAGTGTGAGTGCGCTGAATCAGGCTCAAGCATGGTTCACTTGGCTGGCTCTGGCCTGGTTGGAAGAGGTGTGCCTGAGCGCGGTTCACTTGGGCTTAGGGCAAAGCCCGACTTTGGGCAAAGCCGAAACTGAAAGCGAGACGTGACTTTTAAGGGGCTGTTTCATATGGATTTATTAATCATTCTTACTGTTCGGTGAACGCAAACTGCCATAGTTTATTAAAGACGCAAACCCCTCAATGCACGACAGCTGCGCACCTTCAGCAGACATTCCTGCAGCACGAGAGCATTATGATTATGAGCGGCAAAAGTGGCGGATCTGTTCGGCGAAATTATTGACTGCGTCACCGCATCCCTAAGGACTGTTTGGCGAAATATTTGACTGCATGTCACTGCATATCAAACGACTAAAACGATATAACTAGAGAAATCTCCACTGTGCTGCTGAGAGCGCTTCTCACTGAACAGCGCAGCAGCGATGACGTAAGCGTGCCGAGGCCCGATTGTGGTGTGAGTGCGGGCCGTCGGGGGAGACGGGAGGGGGGACAAGCGTGCTTTGGCCCGGTTCGAGGCAACTGTACCTAGTGTGAGTACGGCCCTAGTGACCCATCGCTATGTATGACCAGGGTCGCGAAGGGACAGGCAGTGGCCGGAGAAGCCCTGCTGAGAGTCGATTAGAGCTCTTAGCTACCGCACAGACCCAACAAGCCAACACAAACAAGTGTCCTGCACCATCAAGGTGCCACCAGAACCGTTGCTTAAATAACCCAATGTACAATGACCCCACTGTAAAATCTTTGTTGGTCCGAACATCTTTTTCACCTGCTAAAAACGAACAGCCAAAAATAACTTCATTTGAAGTGTGCTTTCAGAATGAGCATGTGTTGAATATTTGACTAGATATATTTCAAGATACTAGAATTCAGCTTAAAGTGACAATTAAGGGCTTAACTAGATGAATTAGATTAATTAGGCAAGTTAGGGTAATTATATAATTATAGTTTTGTCATTGTATAAGGATGGTTTGTACTGTAGACAATCGAAAACAAATATTGTTAAGGGGGCTAATAATATAAAATGGCTTAAAAATGGCTTTAAAAAAATTTAAAACTGCTTTTATCTTAGCTGAAATAAAACAAACAAGACTTTCTCCAGAAGAAAAAAATATTATAGAAAATACTGTGAAAAACTCCTTGCTCTGTTAAACATCGTTTGTGAAATATTTGAAGAAAACAAAATTCATAGGAGGGTGAATGATTTTGACTGTATGTGTGTGTGGCGCTTTAGTAAGTGTACAGGGACACAATGTTATCGTGAGGTGCCGGCTGTTTGCTCTGTCGGTGTGTATAACGGCACGCTGTTGTCCCTGTGTTATGAGTGTGTGTGTAATTGTGCGTCTGAATGGCCTGCTCTCAGCTATCAGAGCCGCCTGCTGTTCAGACCCTCAGCCAGGCTAATGACAGACCCCTGGGCCTAATCTACTGCGTTTAATGGGCTCCAGAGGGGCTGCTTTTTAGTCTACAGTAAAGCAGGCCGCTGAGATTTGGACAGAAACCATGTTTAGTGCTATAGTTGTGTCACAGTAGTCACATATGATTTTCTCTTTATTTTGTATTACAGTGCATACAGTTAAAGTCACAATCATTCACCCTCCTGTGATTTATTTTATTTTTTTTCAAATATTTCCCGAATGATGTTTAACAGAGCAAGGAAATTTTCACAGTATTTCTGATAATATTTTTTCTTCAAGAGAAAGTCTTATTTGTTTTATTTCGGCTAGAATACAAGCAGTATTTAATTTTTTTAAAGCCATTTTAAGGTAAAAATTATTAACCATATCTTTCTGATTGTCTACAGAACAAGCCATTGTCATTCAATGACTTGCTTAATTAACCTAATGAAGCCTTTAAATGTCACTTTAAGCTGAATGCTAGTATCTTGAAAAATATCTAGACAAATATTATGTTCTGTCATCATGACAAAGTCAAAAGGAATGATTAAAAATGAGTTATTAAAACTGTTATGTTTAGAAATGTGTTGAAAAAAAATCTTCTCTCTGTTAAACAGATTGGGTTCAGCCTGATTAGTACAGTAGAGAAAAAGGCAAACAGCGAACCACTTAAATCATTGTTTTAAGTCATTTCGACATTGTGTTTGGCCCCTTTCCTGGACTTTAAGCATCATGGGTACCTTTCTGTCTTTGAAAGATGGAGAGCTCTTGGATTTAATCTAAATAAATCTTAATTTTAGTTCTGAAGATGAGCGAAGGTCTCAGGGGATTGGAATGACACAACCATTTAAGTGTGCTAAGAAATGGTAATGAAGTGGATTCCAAGTTTTCCCAGAGATGGTTTGTGGCTGGAAGGGCATCCGCTGCGTAAAAACATGTTGGATAAGTTGGCGGTTCATTCCGCTGTGGCAACCCTGGATTAATAAATTGACTAAGCCGACAGGAAAATGAATGAATGGATTCCAAGTACAATTAATTATAAAATGTCCTTTTTTGTTGCTATTAGTTTTATATTACAACCCCAAATCAGAAAAAAGTTGGGACAGAATGGAAAATGCAAATAATAAAGAAAGTAGTGACTTTTCAAATTGAGTTTGACTTGTATTTCACTGCAGACAACATTAATGCAAAATGTTTCATGTTTTGTCTGTTCAACTTCATTTAATTTGTAAATATTCATCCTTTCCTGTCATTCAGACCAGCATAACATTACAAAAAAAGTTATCACAGGAGCAATTTAGAGCTACGATCAGGTAAACTGGTTAAATAATGATGTGATTTGAAACAGGTGATGTCAACAGGTGATTGTAATTATGATTTGGTACAAAAGCAGCATCCAAGAAAGGTCTAGTCCTTTAGGTGCAAAGATGGGCAGAGGATCGCCCGTTTGCCAACAAATTCACGAGAAAATGATTGAAATCTTTAAAAACAATGTTCCTCAAAGAAAAAAAAGACATTTGGATATTTCAACTTCAGCAGTGCAGAACATCATTAAAAGATTTAAGGATTCAGGAGAAATTTCAGGGTGTAAACAACAAGGGTGCAAGTCTAAGCTGAACAAAGAAGCTCTCCTATCCCTCAGGTGGCACTGTATAAAGAATCCTCGGTCACACTTTACAATAAGGTTCATTAGTTAATGGTAGGTAATGCATTTACTAACATGAATAAACAATGAACAATACATTTACTACCGTATTTATTCATGTTAATAAACGTTAGTTAATGAAAATACAGTTGTTCATTATTAGTATGTTAACTCATGGTGCATTAACTAACGTTAACAAGCATGGACTTAAATGTTAATAATGCATTAGTAAATGTTCAATTATGATTAATAAATGCTGTACATGTGTTGTTCATGATTAGTTCATGTTAGTAAATGCATTAGCTAATGAACCTTATTGTAAAGTGTTACCGAATCCTCATTCATCTATAAGAGATATCACCACATGGGCTCAGGACTCCTTTGGCAAACCTTTGTCCAGGTACCACAATTCATAGCTACATTCACAAATGCCAGTAAAAACTGTACTGTGCATAAAGGAAGCCCTATGTTAACAGTGTCCAGAAGTGACGTGGACTTCTCTGGGCTCAGAGGCATTTGGGATGGACCATCAAACAATGGAAATGTGTACTGTGGTCAGATGAATCAGTATTTCAGGTATTCTTTGGGAGAACAAAACGTCGGACCAATAAAGAAAGTGATCATCCAGACTATTACCAGCAAAAAGTCCAAAAGCCAGGGTCTATCATGGTATTGCGTCAGTAAATTTGGCAAAGGTAACTTGCACAAACTGATGGCACCATAATTGCTTAAAAATACACAGAGATGTCTATGCATATTTCAACAAGACAAATCCACATTTTGCACACATTACAAAGTCCTGGCTGCGGAGGAAGAGGATACAGGTACTGTACTTGACTGGCCTGCCTGCAGTCCTGACTTGTCTCTAATGAAAAATGTGTGAAAATGAATCGCTAAATGTTTCCCAGAGATGGGTTGCAGCTGAAAGGGCATTCGCTGCGTAAAAACGTGCTGGATAAGTTGGCGGTTCATTCCGCTGTGGCGACCCCGGATTAATAAAGGGAGTAAAAGTAAAATGAATGAATAAATGAATCGCAAAATGCAATAACGAAATCCCCGTACTGTTGCCCACCTTAAGACTTGTTTGCACGAAGAAATTACATCACAAACACTTCATTACTTGGTGTTTTCAATCCCTAAACGGCTTTTAAGTGATGTGAATAGGAATGATAACATTACAAAGTTGAAATGCTTTGTTTCAACATGTTTTGAAATGTGTTGCAAGAACCAAAATTTGAATATGTTAAACAATAGGACACGTTAAATAGTGTGTTATTGTCTGCAAGGTATTTATTATATAAGAAAAAAAACTCAGATTCTCCTATCACAGCAAAGTTTCTTTTTGATATTTGACACCAGTTTATCAGGACGTGACAATTTTGTTCCCTTTAACTCATTAGATGGAAATCTTTCATAAAATAATACAGTTTTGTGCATAAATGTAACTTTTAGATGGAAAAGCTATTAACAACATGAAGGGATCCTCAATGGTGTCAATAACATAACAATATAGTGGACAACAGGAAGGGAAGCAGCAGGCCACTGTGCAGATAAGCTGAAGACACATGATAAGAGTGTTTACACCGGACACTATGGTGATTAGACAGAGAGAGAGAGAGAGAGAGCCAAACACTGGTCAGATGTTGGGTTTAGACCACACTGAGATTCCCGTCAGTCGTGTTTTGGAGACTGGCTAACATGTACAGGTGACCTGCTGAAACTTCCTGAAGGCCTTGACTTAATCTTCAGCTTTTTTACTTGTTAAATATCGTCTGTTTAGTAGCTCACATATTTTTATCTTCCTCTTCGTCTCATCTCTTGTCTGCAGGTGTTTGATAAAGGATTTTGAGACTCGTCCTTCAGTGACGCATCTACTGGAGCATCCGTTCATCAAACAGGCTCATGGGAAAGACACGTTGCTCAGACAGCAGCTGTCGGTCCTTATACGTGAGCAGCAGGACGTGGGCAGCAGGACCAAGACCAGGTACCTTCATGCGCAGCATGCAAAGCACAGGACAGATCTAATAGAACTTGACAAATGTCAAGATGGTCACGAGGGAGAGAGAGAAATACTTTTGTAGCACATGCAGTGGTGGGCGATAAGGTGACAACGAAAGGTCTGATTAATTGTGTGATTGATTGGTTTATTGAATGATTAAGTAAATAATAGAATGAATGTTTATGTGAATGATTAAAAGATTGATGGATTGATTGAATGAATTTGTGTTTGTTTAATTAATTGATTCATTGATTCATTATTGAATAAATAAATGAATGAATGAGTGATTGATTGAATGATTGTTCGGTTGAGTGATTGAATAGTGGAACAAATGATTGATTGATTGAATGAATGATTGAGTGATTTATTGATTGATTACATACACAATTGAATGAATGATTGACAAATTGATTGAATGAATAAGTTATTGATTGAATGATTGATTAAATGTTTGTTTGTTTGTTTGTTTGTTTGTTTGTTTGTTTGATTGATTGATTGATTGATTGATTGGTTGATTGATTGGTTGATTTATTCATTAATTGAATAAATAAATGAATGAATGAGTTATTGATTGAATGATTGTTCGGTTGAGTGATTGATTAGTTGAGTTTATGATTGATTAAATGATCGAGAGATTTCTTGATTGATTGACTGATTGATTGAGAGATTGATTGAATGAATAAATGAATGATTAAATGAATGGTTGATTGAGTGATCCGTTGATTGATTGATGGACTCAATAAATGAATGAATGAATGAATGAATGATTAATTGATTGAATGAATAGTTAAAAGATTAAATTAATGAATGGTTAATTGATTGATGAATTAAATGATTGATTAATGAATGGGTAGTTGAATTATTGATTGATTGGTTGGCTGATGGATTAATTGATTGGTGGGTTGTTCGGTTAGTTGACATTGATTGATTGATTAATTGATTGATTGATTGATTGATTGATTGATTGATTGATTAAGTGATTGGTTGGTTGGCTGGCTGATGGATTTATTGATTGGTTGTTGGGTTGTTTGGTTGGTTGACATTGATTGATTGATTGATTGATTGATTGATTGATTGATTGACTGATTGATTGATTGATTGATTGATTGATTGATTGATTGGCTAATTGATTGGTTGGTTGACATTCATTGACTGATTGATTGATTATTTGGTTGGCTGATTGATTGGTTGGTTGACATTGGTTGTTTGGCTGATTGATTGATTGATTGATTAATTGATTGGATTGATTGATTGATTGATTGATTGATTGATTGATTGATTGATTGATTGATTGATTGATTGATTGATTGATTGATTGATTTATAGGCGTTCAGTTGGTTGGTTGTTTGGTTGGCTGATTTATTGACATTGATTGATTGATTGATTGATTGATTGATTGATTGATTGATTGATTGATTGATTGATTGATTGATTGATTGGATAGGCGTTCAGTTGGTTGGTTGTTTGGTTGGCTGATTTATTGACATTGATTGATTGATTGATTGATTGATTGATTGATTGATTGATTGATTGATTGATTGATTGATTGGCTGATTTATTGATTGATTGATTTCTGAGCCCATGACATAAATTTTTTTTGCTTTTACTTTAAATAGATATTTAAATGTGTATGTATACATTTTTCAGTTTTCATAATAAGTAAAGTAAGATTATGAAATAATATGCAAATGTTTAGACATAATATAATGTACATCGTATATAATAGAGATAATACGTTTTGTGAAATTGTATTCATATTGCAATATATCGCATATATCACACACACACACACACACACACACACAAACACACACACACGCACAAAAATTACGCAATGCTAGATTTTTCCAATATCGTGCAGACCTAAAAAGCATTTGTCTAACAAAAAAGTTTTTGCAATAATTGCTGTTATTAAATTCCATATTCACCAATGATTACTATAAAGATGTATTGTTCTTTTTAATAAGCTTAAAAACAATTATGATTTTCAAATGAACTGAAGAATGTTGAAAATTCAATTCATGTCATTTTTTACTGTATTTCATTACAAAACATTTCTTTCATAATGTAATTATGTTACAAAATGTTTCAGATTTTACTGCATTTTTGTTCAAATAAGCACTGATTTGGCTAGCAGACGACACCACCTTTAAAGCATTAAAGTGATAGTTCACCCAAAAATGAAAATTCTGCCATCATTTACTCACCCTTAATTGTTCCAAACCAGTTTTTTTTTCTGTTGAACACAAAAGAAGATAATTAGAGAAATGATAGAAACTTATAACCACTGACATCTAAAGTAGAAAAAACAAACCCCATGGATGCCACAGACTTTTTTTTTTTAAATATCTATTTTTATGAGTGAACTTTACCTTTTAACTAGTAGTGTAAATATACAGGTGGATCAAAAGGAAGTATTATTTTATGGCTTTAAAATAGCCTGCCAATCATTTTTAGAAGGCTCTCAGGGTCAGATTGGAGATCTGGCTGCCTTGAGTGTGGCAGCGGTCATTTTGATGAGCTTGACCTGCGTTTATCAACGTCCTGTGCAGATGCGGAGCTGTCGCGGTGGATTTATCGCGTCTAAAATGTAAAAACAGTAAGGCTTTCTGTTGTGACAGTCTGGAAATACTCTGTGTGAATCAGACATGAGGGTTTTTTTTAGATTCTGTCAGCTGTGTGTGAAGGGTTTTCTCTCTCCAGCAGATGGCAGTGTTACCTGAGGACGAGTTCAGCAGAGATACAGCTGTAGATTTATGGCTACTGATAATAAAATCTACTTTTTTTTTTTTAACAATCGATAGGACATTTTTATTTATATTTATGTGATTTACAATCTCTTGGATACGTTTCTTCATATTTTTGTGACTTGCAAAGTTCTCCTATACTGCAAAAAAAGCTTTTCTTACATGAGAGTTACTGTCTTGTTTCTAGTATAATATCTAAAAGTTCTTAAATCAAGAAGCTTTTACTAGACAAGCAAAAATACGGTCTTGTTTTAAGAAATGATTTCTTCTTAAAACAAGCAAAATAATCTAGATTTTTTTTAGACATAAGACATATTTAGCTTACCCCATTGGCAGCTTATTTTAAGGAAAAACTCACTTAATTTTGGCATATTATTTCTTAAAACAAGACAATATTTGCTTGTCTAGAAAATGCTTCTTGATTCAAGAACTTTTAGATTTTTAAACTATGAACAAGACAAAAACTAAGTAAGAAAAAAAAAATAAATATATATATATATATATATATATATATATATATATATATATATATATATATATATATATATATATATATACATATATATATTGCAGTATTACATTATTTTCACATTCAAAACCCTTTAAAATGATTAAAACATTTCATATATGTATTAGGGCAAAGCCTCGGCTCAGTTGGCGTTTCTGTGTGGAGTTTGCATGTTCTCCCTGCATTCGCGTGGGTTTCCTCCGGGTGCTCCGGTTTCCCTAAATTGTCTGTAGTGTATGAGTGTGTGTGTGAATGCGTGTGTGGATGTTTCCCAGCTGGAAGGGCATCCGCTGCATAAAAACTAATAAATAAGTTGGTGGTTCATTCCACTGTGGCGACACCGGATTAATAAAGGGACAAGCCGACAAGAAAATGAATGGATGAATATTTGTATCAGATCTGCTCGTTCATAACACTAGCAACGCTTAACAGTAAATAAACACACTAAATCTTCTTTTAAACGGTCACTTTAGGACTCCAATACGAATGTTTTCTTCTGTTAAAGAACTAAGCAGACAAATACACTGCAGAAATGTATTACTTGGATTATTGGTCTTGTTACTGGTCAAAATATTTAAAAATTCCTATATCAAGAAGCGGTAAAAATGGTGCTTTGGTTTCAGAAATAAAAAGTCAAGATTAAGAGTTTTTTCTTTAAAGCAAGCTAAATAATCTGATTATTTTGTTTGTTTTAATAAAAAAAGAAAAACTGACTTAATTTCATCTTTTTAATTTTGAAAAACAAAAAACCTTCTTGGCTTAAGAAATTTTCTACAGTGTATATGTTACAGGAATCATTAAAGATTTTGACAATGCTATATACACACACACACACACACACACACACACACACACACACACACACACACACACACACACACACACACACAGTTGAGGTCAGAATTATTAGCCCCCCTGAATTATTAGTTCCCTGTTTATTTTTTCCCCTAATTTCTGTTTAACAGAGCGAGGATTCCTTCAACACATTTATAAACGTAATAGTTTTAATGACTCATTTCTAATAACTGATTTATTTTATCTTTGCCATGATGACAGTAAATACTATTTGACTAGATATTTTTCAAGACACTTCCATACAGCTTAAAGTGACATTTAAAGGCTTAACTAGGTTAATTAGGTTAACTAGGCAAGTTAGGGTAATTAGGCAAGTTATTGTATAATGATAGATTGCTCTGTAGAAAAAAAACAACATTAAAAAATAGGAAAAAATATAGCTTAAAGGGGCTAATCATTTGATCCTAAAATGGTTTTAAAAAAATAAATAAAATAGCTTTTATTCCAGCCGAAATGAAATGAATAAGACTTTCTCCAGAAGAAAAAAAATATTATCAGATATACTGTGAAGATTTCCTTGTTCTTTTAAACATCATTTGGGAAATATTTAAAAACAGAAAAAAATGAAAGGGGGGCTAATAATTCTGACTTCAACTGTATACTGTATGTATGGATATATTTATATGTATATACAGTATATACAGTATATATATATATATATATATATATATATATATATATATATATATATATATATATATATATATATATATATATATATATATATATATATATATTTGATAGTTATTCTAAAACACATTTGCTCACTGAATATTTTATCTTTTTCAGACCATTCTCTGTAAATCCTAGCGATGGTTGTGCGTGAAAATCTCAGTAGATCAGCAGATTCTGAAATACTCAGTCCAGCCCGTCTGGCACCAACAACCATGCCACGTTCAAAATCACTTAAATCCCCTTTCTTTCCCATTCTGATGCTCGGTTTGAACTGCAGCAGATCATCTTGACCATGTCTACATGCCTAAATGCATTGAGTTGCTGCCATGTGCTTGGCTAAAAGTTTGCGTTATCGAGCAGTTGGACAGGTGTACCTAATAAAGTGGCCTGTGAGTGTATATTGAATAGAATGAACAGAGTTTTGTGTATTTGTCTTGTTTTACCTTGCCTAAATATCTTTTTTTTATTATTTGTTAGTGCCCTTTAGAAGCTACAGAAGATACTTATTTGTTTCCCAGATGACAAAATAAATAAAATTTACCCTCATGTTCAAATTTTTATTCTTATTAATTTATCTCCTTAAAGTAATGTCTCATTTCCTTACTACTAAAGTGTTAGATTAGTACTCTTAACCCTTTAACATCTCTCCGATTCACCAATACATGAGGAGCAATTGTTCTGAAATAATCACACTGGATTTTTCTTACATATCACATGATATCCACTTCTCTTAATCTTGAGTTTCGCTAAACAAAATAATTGAAGTTGTTCTGAGAAAAACTGGATTGGTACGTACATCCTGTGATTGTGAATAAACAGTCGTTGGGTTGCCAGATTGTAGCCCCTGATTCCCCAGGCCAGGTTTAATCTGCTCCCCTGATAGTGACAGTGAGAGAGACGTAATAAGATTATGAGCTTGGCTGTTCTCTCTCTGTTTAGTTACTGATGGCGAATATGAGTGAAGTGATTACAGGCTGAATCAGAGCCACACACGTGCTGGTTTTTCTCGCAGTGTGATGTTTGTGTGTGTGTGAACGCTGTCGTGTCCCTGGGGCTCCATGAGGTTTAAGAGCTGTGAATAGAGCAGCTGCGAAAGGTCAGAAATACAAAAGAGAGTCAAACCCTGATGAAGTGCATTCACTACATGCTATAATAGCTCTCAAACCCCAGAGGACAGACCTGCAGCAGACTCTCATACTGCACTAATATGGAGGATACATTTTTATGTTATTTTATTTTATTTTATTTAACACAAAAATGTTTTTTTTTGTTCAACATATTTTTATGTTACTGCAGCTATGACTGAAGGATTTAATTTAATTTAATTTAATTTAATTTAATTTAATTTAATTTTATTTTATTTTATTTTATTTTATTTTATTTTTTTATTTTTTTTCTTCCCACAAAAATGTTTTTATTTCATTTATCATATTTTTTATTTTGCTGCAGTACTGCAATAATGTCAGGGGAATTTTATTTTAAATTTTTATAAAGTTTATTTAGTTTTATTGTTTAAAAAAAACATTTTATTTTATTTAATTTACCACAAAAATATTTTTATTTTATTTTATTCACCAAGGTTTTTTATGTTACAACAGTACTGGATTTTATATATTGTTATTTAATTTAATTTAATTTAATTTAATTTAATTTAATTTAATTTAATTTAATTTAATTTAATTTTGTTTTGTTTTATTTTATTTTATTTTATTTTATTTTATTTTATTTTATTTTATTTTATTTTATTTTATTTTATTTTATTTTATTTTATTTTATTTTATTTTATTTATACAATAGGCCGAAATGAGTTTCTTTCGCAGGGTGGCATGCCGCACCCTTTTAGATAGGGTGTGGAGCACTGTCACCTGGGAGGAGCTCGGAGTAGAGCCGCTGCTCATCCACATCAAGAGGAGTCAGCTGAGGTGGCTCGGGCATCTGTTCTGGATGCCTTCTGGACGCCTACATAGGAAGGTGTTCCAGGCTTGTCCCACCGGGAAGAGGCCTTGGGGAAGACCCACGACACGCTGGAGGGACTATGTCTCTCAGCTGGCCTGGGAACACATCGGTATCCCCCCGGAGAAGCTGAAGGAAGTGTCTGGGGAGAGGGAAGTCGGGTTTTTTGCCACCGGCCCTGAAAAATGAATGAATAAATGAATAATTTAATTTAGTTTAATTTGAAATGTTCCTATTATTTTGGATTTGAAATTTGACCAAACCTTATGCAACAAATATTAACTAGTCTATTGTTTTTTGTTTTTTTTTCCAATAAAAGCAAATCTAAATGGTTTATGATGAGTTATGATGAACATTTTCAAAACCCAGACTTTTGAATGACAATGTATATTAAAAAAGTAAATAGAGAAGTATCAGAAATTTGGGGTCAGTAAACAACCAACTGACAACTGCAGAAAACCGCTTATATATTTCATTTACTATGGAATTTTTCTGTTCCCTAAAAGATAAATTAAAGTATTTGTTTATATGTAAATAGGTCTGTGTTGTGTTTAATGTTTTTAAGGCTGTAACACTGCTGGATTGTCATTGTAGGCATGAACGAATCAATACTAGGAAAACCCTGATCATCGAGAGCTGCCCGGATGATGATCTTGTTAACCTGGAGCTTTTAGATGAGGTATTTAAAGGATTTACTTTTTTAATTAAACTTTTTTTTTAATTAGTCAATTTGAATTCCTTTTTATTTAACTTTTTTTTTTTGTTAGTTGTAGATGTAAAAATTGACCCTATTTTCTTAACCTTTATTACAAATGGCTCAAATTTAATTCTTTACATGAAATACAGAAAATCAAATGATTTGTTATTTGCATATTCAAATGATCTCTAAAATATTAAGAAAATTACAAGCTATTAAACTGCTCAGATTATGTGTTATCTGTGAATTTATAGAAACGATGAAACATCTCCAGAATTTCTCTTTTGTAGGAAACGATCATCGCACACCTTCAGAAGCGGTATCAGGATCTGCAGATCTACACGTATGTTGGGGATATTCTGATCGCCCTGAACCCCTTCCAGAACCTCAGCATCTACTCTCCACAGGTGAGATACTGCAACCAGCAGATGCGCATAAAATAAAACTCTCAGCAACTTTCGCTGAATTTTAAACATGTTGAAATGCACACGTTGAGTAGCGCTTGAAGTAGTCTTTTTAATATAAAGCTTGAAGTAAGATGTTGTTTTGTGTTGTCAGTTTTCCAAGTTATATCATGGGATGAAGCGCTCCACCAACCCTCCACACATCTTTGCCACCGCTGATGCAGCCTATCAGAGCATGGTGACTCTCTGCAAAGACCAGGTGCTGCTTACTGGGGCTCTAAAACTATATAGATGTGCATGGGTCAGAAATGAGTTGACTGTTTTTATGCATGATTTTTTGAACACCTTTGTCTTTTTGTAATTACTATAACAGTTTATTTAAGGTGATACACAGATAAAACCAGAAGTTTACATACACTGTATAAAAAGGCGCATATCAATACAAAAAAAAGTTCAGATGTTAATGTGACTAAACTTTTTCTCTTTTAGGTAAGTCAGGATGATCAGATTTCTTTCTGTTATGCTTAATCGCAGAATAATGAGAGAGAGATTTTTTGTTTCTTGGTTTCTGTCTGTGTAGTGTATAATCATCAGTGGAGAAAGTGGAGCCGGTAAAACTGAGAGTGCCCACCTCATTGTCCAGCATCTCACCTTTCTGGGCAAGGTTGAGTACTTTTTTAATACATTCATAATCATTATTCATTTTCCAACTCAGATTCATTCTGAAAATGTACCCCTATATACATTTCTGGAGAGGAGCCAAATACACCCCAGGAGCTACGTTTTTTTTTCTTTCAGTTTTTGCTTCGTGAATCCACCGATGTGTACACTTTTTGAGATCTCAAATTTCTCTTGCAAGTGCCATTCGAGCCTGCTCTTCTCATATAAATCCACTAGAGGCCACTGTTGACTGACTGACCAACTGATCGACTGATCCACTGTACTCTTACTCTAAACCCATCAACACTGTTTTTAAAAGCAACGATTGACCAGCGTCCACCACTTTCCCTAAACCCAACCAACAGATTATTCTAAAGCATCGATTAACCCGCCTGCCTCCGTCCCTAAACCTAACCAACAGGGTTTTGAAAAGCAATCAAAAGAAAATTATATACTTGTTTATTTATTTTTTTGGCTTTTTCTTGACTGCTTTCTGGAACCCGTCTTTGTCACGCTCGAACCTCGTCGCTGATGTCAACTCTGTGCTACATCACAAGTCTTCAGACTTACGTGGTGAGAAACTGTTAACAGCGGAAAAGTTGTCCATATCAAGGTAAGCGGTCAGCTGGTAAGTGCTAAAAGGAACGGCATCATACCGGCACGTAGCTTTCGTTTTAAAGACGAAATGCAGCCATACGTACCTCTGGCTACATAATTAGCAATCTCCAGAAATGTATATAGGGCTACGTTTTCAGCATGAGCTTGTGTTTTGTTATATTTCATACATTGCATACATATTACTGCCTGTGCACGAGAAAACTTAACCATCAGTTTAGTGGCTAGTTTGTCCGAATTTGTACCAGTTCAGTCGTACGAAAATTTGTGATTTTCAAAATGAGGCATGAGACCACACTTCACCCCTAAACCCAACCATCATTAGAGGATGAGCAAATCGAACTAAATTGTACAAATGAGATCATACGAAATCATACAAATTAGCCACTAAACCAAAAAGTTACGATTTGCCTTCATAACATTTCATTAACTGATCCTCAACTATCGCAGATTACAAATCTAGGCAGCGCTCTTCAAACGGCAAACTGTTGTTCTCTTTTTCAAGGCTAACAATCGCACACTCCGCGAGAAGATTCTTCAAGTCAATCCCCTGGTGGAGGCGTTTGGTAACGCATGCACGGCTATTAACGATAACTCCAGCCGCTTCGGAAAGTATCTGGAGATGAAGTTTACTCCTACAGGAGCAGTGATGGGTGCCAAGATCTCAGAGTATCTTCTGGAGAAATCAAGAGTCATCAAACAGGCTACGTGAGAAAACATTTCGTTTACATCTGTGATTGTCAGAGACTAACATAAAATACTTTATGCAATTCATGTTACTACTGTAATGTGACTTATTTTCCGAGTGAAGCATAATGTTAGCAATTAAATACAAGTATGGCAGGTCTGGATTTTACACATGGATGGGATGTAGATTTTTTTTAGAGATTATTTTAGCGAAAAGGGACCTATTACACAAAAAACACTTTTATGAGGGGTTCAAACAGGTGTGTGGCAACAGTGTGTGAATATAACTAATAGTAAAAATTACTAATATATTTTTTTATAATCATGCTTCTTAAAATAGTCTAAGAAAAACCCATTTTGATTTACTTTCTCTCTTAGTAGATGTCATCAGAGGGGGAAAGCCCCGCCCATTAGTGAAAATCTCTCCCTCATTAGCATAAACAGCCCTGAGTGAGAAGCAGACGATTTGAATCTGGCGCACAGTAATCTTAAGCTCCGCCTTCTTTTCAAAATAGGGAGCACCACCTTATTTATAAATGAATTTAAAGCGACAGTCACCAAAATGGCACAAATTTGGATCAAAGCCTAAAAGGGGCATCTTCAAAGAGCTATAAAACATTATTTTTGTGTTATTTTGAGCTGAAACATCACATACATTCTCTAATTAGTTAAATTGCTCTGTGATATCTACATAGTCAGCCTGATCTCACAAGGAAACTTAAGTATTTTTTAAGTACATCTTTGAAAATTTTATGAGTGTATTTACACCGGCGCAGTCATTCAATGGATGTTTCAATTAGCAATCTAGAAAACAAAATAAAGATGTGGCTTAGTGGGATTGAGTCTTCCTGCTTCTCCCATTTTCAAAATAAGAGTTACGCATATATAGTAAGTTTAATAGAAGCTTAGATTAATTTAACAATAAGGAGAAATAGGGATAATTTTTGTAATCTCTCTAGGAAATGTTGTGGTCAATCAAACACATGCTACATGCATAATAATGGCAAGTGAAAAATAATAGTCTGTATTTTATTCTGATTGGGGTGTTTTCACCAAGATTTTAAATGCACGTAATTCAGATAACAGGAAACATCGGTGTTTGAACTCTGTATTTAGTGATGCTTATGAGGGTATCCGCATTATTATTACATGTCACCTTTTAGAATTAAGATAACTTGGTAGGAGCCGATAATTTCTTTGAAATTATAATGTGCTTAATCATTCACATTAAGATTTTTTTCATGTTGACTTCTAACTTTCTAACAGTTTTGTACTTCCATTTGTTTTACACGTAGTACAAATTGTACTCTAAAAAGCTTTTAGTTACTTCAAAAAGTTAGTAAATTAGGGCCCTATTATACACCCGGCGCAATGTGGCGCAAGGCGCGGCGCAATACTTGTTTGGTAGTTTTAGCTTGGCGCAAGAGTGGTTTTGAGGCGTTGCGCTACGCTGTTTAAATAGCAAATGCATTAGCGATCATATGTGCGCCCATAGGCGTTCTGGTCTAAAAAGGAAGGCGTTCTGAGGCGCGCTACTGGCGCGTTGCTATTTTGAGAATCTATAATAGATTTTTCATTAGACCAAAACAAACCCGGTCTAAACTCCAGCGCAGAGTTGCGCCTCGCTTACACACTGCTTAATACGCACAAGAGAGCAATAGGCAAATATCTTTACATATGAAAAAATTTTAATATTAAGGATATATATAGGATATAATAAGAATAGATATAGGATATAAATATAAAGGATTAAAATATTAAAAAACATATTATTTTCTAGCCTACATAAATATGAAAAATCACTGCTTTTCTGTCTTCTTCATCTCGGGAGGCTTTTTCAGTTCATTCATAACAATTTGCTTTCATATAATGTTATTATTATTAGCAGTATTATTTATTATATCCATATTTATATTTGTTTTATTAAAAACAAGCTTAGATTTGCCCACCTGTCAGGTTTTAGACCATATGGGGCACAGCATGTGTTTTAGGATATAACTCAGGTTTTTGAGCACATTTTGTTATTGTTGTTCATTTATTCGTTTGCTAAAAATTAGAACTGAATTTAGAAATAGTTTTGAAACGAATATTTGCGTTTAACAAACGCAATTAATTATTTATAGACTAATTAATGTCTGTGTGTAAAGGTTTCCCTATCCAAGAGCGAAAGTGAAAGTGATCCATTATCTCTCATTCTCACGCAGTAGATGCTCTGTTTAACAGTTTTCTGCTAAAAAAAAAAACTGTTAACTGTTTGCTTGTGAAATGCTCATTTTTTCCACTTAGACTTACTTTGCGTCCTGTAAATAGCGAATGTGCTCTTGGCGCGACGCAGCTGGCTCTTAAAGGGAATGGGAGATGAGACTCTAATTGGTTTATTCTCAAAACACACCTATAACTCATTAAGAAAATAAACTCAACCCTTTTAGACCATGCGCCACGGCGCAAAGCAGGTTTCCCATTATTAAATTAGCAAAAATGCGTTCTGACATGCCCTGAAAGCATTTACGCCCTGCGTTTTGCGCTCTGCGCATGGACAGTCAAAATAGAGCCCTTAGTTGCTTTAAAAGTGACAAGTTGACTTTAAGATGACAAGTTAACTTCAATCAGAACTCATTTACTTAATAATTGTAGTATTTACAGCTAGTTACCTTCTCTTGCAGGGGTGAGAAAAACTTCCACATATTCTACTATATCTATGCTGGTCTTTACCATCAAGACAACCTCAGGAAATACAAGCTACCCAACAAAACTGCCCCCAGGTACATGTATTTACAATGACTCTGAAAGCAGTTAGTATACAGCGTCGCTGAAAGAGATGTGATATTCATGCTGTTACTGCTACTTTTTTTTCAGATACATTGACTGTGTAAATGGAAAAGTAATGCAGGACATCATTTCTAGCAAACTGTACAAGGAGCAGTTTGACGCCATTCAGGACTGTTTTCGAATCATCGGATTTACAGAGGAGGTCCGGATGGAAATCTGATTTATCATTTATAAATCATTTCTAATATCATTGATCATTTATTATATTTTGTTAGAATTTACTTTGCCTCATTTCTTTTCAATCCTGTATCAGTTTTATCCCCAGCAGAATATATCTTAAAAAACTATGTATAGGGCTGCGTCCAAATTCACCTACTACTCAGTAGGTACTGCATTTGAATGTACTTCTCGACCATTAGAAAAGTATGCTCTATACCAGGGGTTCTCAACTGGTTTGGCCATGGGACCCACATTTTTCATGGTCATCAAGCCACGACCCAAATTTTTAGGAACTTTAATACATTTTTAGGAATTTTACTTAATTTGCATTTATTTGTTAACATAAACAAGTAGTGACAGATACATCATAAGAAAATCACCAAGACTTGCAATTAAACACAATTTCATTGCTGTCATTTAACAAAATGTATCAAATTATAGAAATATTACAAAGTAAAAACGACAAATACTGTTAATAATAAACTGTTAATAAAACATGTTTTCTGGTTTCTAAATGTGTTTTAATTTAGAAGGTTTCATGCTCTTTTATGAGAGCACCTCACCTCTTATGACACTGAGGCTTTAAGTCTTTTTTGTCATCAATATATACATCCATACTTTACATATATATTCGGGGTCGTACTTGCGCTTTGACATATTTGTTGCAATAATTAAATGAAATTTCACATGTCAAACGGTAGGGTTGTCGCGCACACATTTCAAAATAAAAGTCCGACTTAAGCAAAATAAGTAAAAAATTTAACTTTTGGTTTTTTTTTTTGATTACACACTCCGTGACCCACTGAAAATGTTCCCGCGACCCACTTTTGGCGACCCACCAGTTGAGAAACACTGCTCTTTACCGTATGAATGTGAGTAGTATGAATGGAACTCAAACGTACTACATCCACCATTTTGTCATCATCACGTAACCTACATGCGTCAGTTGCATTGCTTCACTCTCATAATTTCTCTTGCGGTGCATCATGGGATATCATAGCATCCATCCGATGCGCACTTCAGAATCTCTCCGGAAGTAGTAGGTCATCAGGGTACTTCTCGCATGCTGTTTTTTGAATTCTATGAATTCAGACATACTACTAGGCTCGCATACTGTTTTTAGTGCACTAAATAGTATGGAAGTATGTGATTTTGGACGCAGCCCTAGGGTTTTTTATTAAATAAAACACTCACAAATGACATTTGTTGCTTGTTCAAACTATGCATTTAAATCGAGTTAAAACAAAATTCTTAAGTTTTCTTGGAACAACGTAATTGTTTTATGTTCGATCTACTTAAATTTGGAAAAGTAAATAAATAAATAAAAAGATTTAGTTATCTTAATCAATTTGTTTTGGGAAAACAAAGGAATTGAGTAGAACCCAGCATTGCTTTCAATGAAGTCAATGAGACCAAGGTTGTTTAAATGTCAAAAAAAATCACAGAAGAGAAAAAAAAAGTCATACAGGTTTGGAATGATGATGGCATTTTAATTTATTCTTGGTTAAACTATCTATTTAAGAAAACAATAATCAGAATTCACTGCTTCAGTATAATATATATGTTTTTATATGTATATACAGGAAGTGAATTCAGTATACAGAATTCTTGCAGCCATTTTAAACACTGGAAATATTGAGTTCGCATCCGCCAGCTCTCAGCATCAGAGCGACAAGAGTGAAGTGCCCAACTCTGAGGCCTTAGATAACGGTGAGTGCTTTCATTCAATCAAAAATTTATCATTTGATACCAAGAAATGAGCTTGTACTTTGAATTAATGTCGATGGAAATAATTTTTACTGTTACCATAAAATTAATTCAGCCCTCAGAACAGCTTAAGAAGCTCTCAAAATTGCTGTTGTGAAAATGTGTATTTGCTATGTAATATGTTAATCATGTTTTAAATGTAATTACTGTAGATAATATCTATTTTACGTTTACAGGGCTGATTGGTTTATGTAGTTGTGAAAAAAAAACATAATAATGCAGGCTGAATATTTAATGGGCAGTATAATTAGCCGTAATGTAGTGAACAGCATTTGAATATTTATCCTCATTTGGAAGTGGCTTAGAAATAATGTGAACAATCTGGTTTTCTGTGAATATTTGTGTGCAAGCAAATCAATCTGTGTAAGATTTGATTAGGATATCACACTCAAAAAATAACCTTTGCTGTTTGTTCAAACTACTTGTATACAATAAGCTGAAATGACACAATTCTTGAGTGTTTTGGACGGGACAGCTTAATTGTTTTAAGATGAATCCACTTAAATTTGTAATAAACTAATAAGTGAACCTAATTCCTTTATGTTGTCCTAACACAAATTAATTGTGTGGACCCCAGCATTTTTACAGTGCAGATTTGCTGTCTGTGGTAGTTAAAATGCAGCCTTTGTTGTTTGAAGTACTTTTAAATGCATGACAAGATGGACGTGGAATATAATATCATGAATTATTAAATATTACATTACCACTTAATAAAACAACCTAGAAATTCTGTCATTTTTAAGGTAAAAATTGTAACTTGGACTTTCCACAACATTATAAATACCATTTGGACATTCACACAGTTGGTCAAAATGACAAAACTACTGAACTAATTATTAGTTTTAATTTTGGCGTTGATCAGCATTTGTGAGTGCAGTGTAAATTGCACTTAATCAACTATGTTTCCTTTCCCAGAGATAGGTTGCGACTGGAAGGGCATCCGCTGCGTAAAAACTTGCTGGATAAGTTGGCAGTTCATTTCGCTGTGGCAACCCAATTGATAAAATTGACTAAGCCAACAAGAATTGTTGAAGAGCAACTAAACTTCTCTGACCACATTTCTAGAACTGCTCGATCTTGCAGATTCGCACTCTATAACATCAGAAAGGTCCGACCCTTCCTATCTGAACATGCAGCTCAACTCCTTGTTCAAGCTCTTGTTCTCTCCAGACTGGACTATTGCAACTCTCTACTAGCCGGGCTTCCAGCTAACTCTATCAAACCTCTTCAGCTGCTCCAGAACGCAGCAGCACGAGTGGTCTTTAATGAACCTAAAAGAGCACATGTCACTCCGCTGCTCATCCATTTGCACAGGCTGCCAGTTGCTGCTCGCATCAAATTCAAAGCTCTGATGTTTGCTTACAAAGCGACCTTTGGGTTTGCGCCTTCCTATCTGCTCTCACTTTTGCAGATTTATGTGCACTCGTGGTTTCATCCCAAAGAGGGAAGAAATCACTTTCCCGAACTCTCGCATTCAATCTGCCCAGTTGGTGGAATGAACTCCCTAACTGCATCAGAAAGGCAGAGTCACTCGCTGTCTTCAAGAAACGTCTAAAAACTCAACTATTTATTCTCCACTTTCCTTCCTAATCTGCAATTGCCTCTCTGGTTCTAACGCTAACTGTATTATATATATATTAAAAAGAAAATTTACTACACGCGTCTTACACTTTACATACCTGAAACTTGCACTACTGTAAGTCGCTTTGAATAAAAGCATCTGCTAAATGACTAAATGTAAATGTAAGAAAATGAATGAATGAATAAACTACGTTTCCATCCAAAGATGCAAATTAAACTTCTGCTCAAAACTGGAATATCGTATCAAACATTTGCGAATGAAGCAGCGTTTCCATCCAAAGAGTCGAAGAAAACAAAATTGTCATTTCCTGATAAATTTTTGTCAAATATCAAAAATAAAAATAGAATTTTCTGTTGTAAGAGAAGCCACTGTTGGATGCGTTTCTTATATAACAAATGACTTGTGTCTCGGAAGATGAAGACGAGACACAAATAACACATGGTGGCTTTTGGATTGCCCTTGCACTGTAGGGCCTATTAAAACTATCATGATTTTAGTTGGTAAATGTGTTTACATTGTAGTTTATTCACACTTTTTCTTATCGGATAAAAAGTTTTTCCTATTTAATATTGTGCATAATTATTATTTGTGCACATTTTCTAAATTTATGCTTATCTTGGCATTAAGGTGACCTATTATTAGGAGACATATTACATATTATGTATGTAAAATAAGTATTTGATGTCCCTAGAGTGTGTATGTGAAGATTCAGCTCAAAATATCACATCGATAATATTTTATACTGTTTGAAACCCTTTTAGGGTTTGATCCATGGTGCCATGTTGGTGACTGTTTCTTTAAATTCAAATGAGATTGTGCTCGCCGTTTTGAAAAGAGGGTGGAACTACAAATGCCTGTGTGTCAGCATAGTGGCAGATTCAAAAAACAAGACTGACATCCTATGCTAATGATGGAGAGATCATCACTGATGGGCGGGGCTTTCCCCCTTTGATGACACGTACAAAGGCGGAATGTCAATCAAAGTGTTTCTGCAGACTGCTTTTATCAAGTGTGATTATAAACAACAGAATTAATTTATTTTGACCATTAGAAGCTGGCTATATTCACAAGCTGTTGCCACACAATTGTGTTCAAACCCCTTATAAAAGGGATTTTTTACATAATAGGTGCCCTTTAAGCAATTTTATATATGATACATGGATCTAAACATAGCTATTATACATTATTGATGCCCTTCTTGTTATAATCCTAATGTGTTTCCTGTGGACAGCGGCAGCTCTGCTTAGCATCGGCTCCGAGGAGCTTCAGGAGGCTTTGACCTCCCACTGTGTGGTAACTCGAGGAGAAACCATCATCCGCACCAACACTGTAGACAAGGCCACCGATGTGAGAGACGCCATGTCTAAAGCGCTGTACGGACGCCTCTTCAGCTGGATCGTCAACCGCATTAATGCCCTGCTGCAGCCGGACACTAACATCTGGTACGACATCTCAGTTTAACACTAGAACCGCCAGGGTTTTTTTTTTTTGTTGCTTAAAACCGCCAGTGCGGGTACATTTATGAATTAACATTGAACATGAATTTATTATGGGTTAACACAAAAGTGTCAGGAGTTATTGATTATGGCTGGATCTCAACTATGTTTGAGTCTTGCTGTTTTAATACAAAGCATTCTTATGCTGGCCACTTTCATATCGCTAGGCTGTATAAACCTGCACTGACAATGGTATTTAGAAGTAAATGCATATTTGAGTGGTGTAATATTATAATTCAGTATGGGTGTAACGATTTATCGTGGTACGATTTATTGCGATGCAAAAATGTCGCAATATGCATTGTGGCGTTATGACGATTTTATTACAATATGACGTCCGTTTTCTCTTATTAGTTGAGCTGTTTGCACGTGAGCTACGTTCCACCTGCTGTCGCACGTGAGTTCAGATTGGTTGAACTAGCAGCAGCAGTAACATTAGCAGACCAAGATGAGTGGAGTTAAAATAGAGCAGAGGTTCTCAAAGTGGGGGTCGGGACCCCCCGAGGGGTCACGGGACAATGAAGGGGCGTCGCCTGGTGATTTTCGAAATACAATTAATTTTTATTAAACCTTAAGACTTACTGTATTTTATCAATAACCTACTGAAGAGAAAAAATAGTCGTTTATAGTTACTATAAACTATATAGTTACTATAGTAGCTTATAGTTACTAGTTCTATTGGATTGCGACTTCTCGGGTAATTACATTATACTAAAGACACACCAATACTGTCAGATGCAGCAGACTGATTTTATAACACCAGGTTAAACTTTCTAGCCCATACATAAAAAAAAAAACAAAGAATAGACTTGGGTCTATAGGTGTGTGTGTGTGTGTGTGTGTGCGTCATTGCATACAAGGTTTCTGTATTTATAACCACCACCTCAGAGAATATTGGGGGTCACGAGTCACTGGCATTGTCATTTTGGGGGTCGCGGGCTGAAAAGTTTGGGAACCCCTGAAATAGAGGATGGCCCATTCTCTCAAAATCTGACGTCTGGCAATATTTCGGTTTTACAGTCATTGCTTTAGACTCGTCCGCTTTTTGACACGCATACTGGGTCAAACATAGCCGAAGTTTTAAAGTCTTCACAGTGATTACATACTTTGCACAGCGACAGGGATACCTCCTAATGGTGTTGAAAGAGTCACATATTTTATTTATGAGGTACAATTCACCCAAAAATATCATTCTGTCTTCATATAATGATGTATTGGCGGCCGCAAAATCACACATGACGTGAGCTGACTGTGAGCTGTTACTACAGAGGGCGGACTACTTAATGATAGACGCGCGCACGTCTACTTCAGTGAACAGAACCTGCAAAGGTTGTGAATAACAGGAAAAAAAGTTGTAAATAACATTCAGTTTGTGGCATCGTTATCGTTTAGGAGCCGCGTGGGAAGAACAGCACTTAGCAGTGGAAATGAAACCAAAAGCGTGCACATTATATAAATAATCATATCGCATTTTAGAGTTATGATTACGACAAGCATTAACTCTTTTGAGTACAGAGGTACACAAAAATGCACGTCAACATGATACACTTGATATCGCCGACATCAGCAACGCCGAAGAAATAGTAAACCTGCCTAAACTGCTGAAAAGGGCCTCGACTGTCCTGTCTGATGAAAAGACGGCCAGTCTGTCACTCATCATGCCCAACATGAAGACAGCCATGAGCCATCCAAAAAAACCTCTCAGACAGAAACACATAAGTTCAGGATTATCTCATAGAACTGCTGACTACCTGGAAATGAAGATGTTTTTATTTTTTGCGCAAACAAAAAAACGCAAATAACCAAGCAAAGCCTTAAGCTCTTACTGTTAAATTCAATTGAATAGAAAGTTATTTTTTATTTTTGCACCTTTACTTAAATTGTTCCTAAATTTTGTCATTTTGATAATATTTTAGAAGAAGTTTAGAAATTGTTTTATTTTCCAGAGACAGGCCTATTTAATTTATTTTCCTAAAGAAGGTTCAGTTTAAATGAAAGAAGTTGAAACCAAAGAAATACATAAAAAAAATTGTTTACTTGATAATTATTTTTTTTTAAATAAAATTTGCATTTCAGTATCATTTTCATCATTTTTATTCCAAATATCGTGATACATATCCAACCGTGAACATTATATTGTGAAACACATTGTATGTGAGCTTTGTGTATCGTTACACCCCTATAATTCAGTGCCACTAATTGTATGTTAACCCTTGTGTGCGTTTGGAGTTGTTTTCATCTACTCTGTCATGATTTTGAGTCTTAATTTGGCCACAACTTTCTCTGTTTCAGCAAGTGGAATGATTTTTGGTGACAATTCTTATTTTGACACCTATTTTGGTAAAATGCCAAAAATTTAACAATAGACTGGGCAAATTAACTACCCTTTCGTTATGTTGGGGGCTGTTTTTGCCCTATTGACTTCCATTTTAATAACTTTTTTTTTAATCGCAAAGCCTTGACACCATATTATTATGTATTCTTGTTTGTTGGTGGTTTTTTCCTGTTGAAAAAAGATACAATTTATTATCTTTACTGTTAAGCTATTGATACCCTATTTCATGATACCACACGACGCTTACAACTGATGCCTGTAGGTCATGTGATAATGACAAATAGTGGATAGTAGAGTTCCATTCATATTATATACAATGAACATTTCCATTGTTGTGTAGTAAATTCCAGTAGTAGGCTATTTTGGAGGCGTCCATTATATAGCACCTAAATTTGACCCACACTGGCTTTTATATGTTAAAATAAATGCCTTGGTTTTTTTTTTTAATCATAGGCTTATTCTGAAAACGTAGCTCTATCTACATTTCTGGAGAATGCAAATTATGTAGCCAGAGGAACGTATGGTTGCATTTCGTCTTTAAAACGAATGCTACAGGGCAGTTATGGTACTGTTCCTTTTCACACTTACAGTTGAAGTCAGAATTATTAGCCCCCCTTTGATTTTTTTTTTTTTTATATTTAAAAATCTCCCAAATGATGTTTAACAGAACAAGGAAATTTTCACAGTATGTCTGATAATATTTTTTTCTTCTGGAGAAAGTCTTATTTCTTTTATTTTGGCTAGAATAAAAGCCGTTTTAAATTTTTAATGAATAATATTAAGGTCAAAATTTTTAAACCCTTTAGACTAATTTTTTTTTTGACTGTCTACAGAACAAACCATTGTTATACAATAACTTGCCTAATAACCCTAACCTGCCTAGTTAACCTAATTAACCTAGTTAAGCCTTTAAAAGTCACTTTAAGCTGTATAGAAGTGTCTTGAAAAATATCTAGTCAAATAATTCTGATTTCAACTGTACCAGCTGACCGCTTGCCTCCGCGTGAATGGCTTTTCTGCTGTTACCAGTTTGCCCAGTAGCTCACCACGTACGTCGGAGGATTTGAGACGCTGAGCAGATTTGCCCTTGACAACGGGGTTCGAGTCTGGCAAAGAACGGTTTTAGAAAGCAGATAAGACAAAAACAAAAGCCAAAAAATAAAATAAACAAGTAAATAACAGGGTGAATGTGGTCAAATCTGAAAACGTGGTAAAAATCAGGCAGCCATGAGGGCTTTTCTTTTTCTGCCCTGCTTTTGAAAACACTGTCTGTTCAGTTTAGGGAAGAGGTCAGTCAGTCAGTTGACAGTGACCTCTAGTGGATTTACATGAGAAGAGCAGTCACAAATGCAACTCGCGAGAGAAATTTGAGATCTGAAAAAGCATAGACAGCGGCCTCTGGTGGATTCGCAAAGCAAAAACTGAAAAAAATAAATAAATTTCTGAGATATATTTGCGTATATATATATATATATATATATATATATATATATATATATATATATATATATATATATATATATATATATATATATATAAAAACGCAATCAGAATGAGCCTGGGTTGTTTATTTAACTGTTATATGATCTGCAAGCAAAAATAAATTAACAATTAGATCCGAATTACACTACAAGGTCTCATTTAACACAGTAATTTTCACTAGGGCGGTCAACATGAATTTAACTGATTATATAAGATGATTATTTAAGAATTTTCAATTACCCTAAATCTTCACTGTTGCTCTTCTAGCCTGGTCTAACATATCTTCAGCTCTTCTCTACTGTTTACTTCATGTATTTGATGATCAACAATGTAACTTCGAGGTAATTCCCAAACTTTCATGTCCATATCCTCCTTGAATCTCTGCTGTGGCGGATGCGTTTATACATGCATCTCCAGCAGTGACCTCCAGTCTAACCAGCGCAAAGCTCAGAATATTAATATCCACAGCGGCAGAAGAAGAAAAGACTTATGAAAAGGCCTTTTTATGAATTTTTGATATCGAGTTAGATTGGGAAGAAAAATAATAATAATATGCAGATGATTAAAAAGACTTCAGAGAGAGTGGAAGGAGCCGTTCATTGATCCGAGCGAATCCTGTCAGACATTAGCAACACGCTTGTCAGAGAAACTGACATGCACACACACGCATCATCCTAAATCCTACCGTTTCCACTCCAATCAGCAGCGCATTCGGCGTTATTGCTGCTAATAACCTGTTAGCGTTAGCAGAAGGTGACCTCTGGACGCTGTCTGAGACAGGAGACTGAACGTTTTACCGTTGACTGAACTCCTGCTAAAGCTGAAATGACACCCCGTGTGCTTAAATTGCTTTGTTTTCGTGTTTTCCCGCTTGGCAGGTTGTGAAATATTTAGCTGTTTGGGTCATTAGCGTGGTTAGGGCCTTAATGTGTTGTGAAGGCCGGGTAATATTTGGCTGTTGGTGTCTTTGAAGTGCGGCCGAGAGTGGGATGAACGTGGGGATTCTGGACATCTTCGGCTTCGAGAACTTCAAGAAGAACTCGTTTGAGCAGCTGTGCATCAACATCGCTAACGAACAGATCCAGTTCTACTTCAATCAGCACATCTTTGCCTTGGAACAGGTGAGAGTTTCTAGCGCACACAAATCACCTTTAGACTGGACCATGAACCCACTGTTATATATGTGCTCAATACATTTAAATAGCATAGAAATAAGGCAGACATTTTAAAGTAGATGTTGAAATGTATATCCCCCTCCCCCAAAAATATTTGTAATAATGAAGTATACTTTAAGTACACTAAGTTTCTTAAAGAGGGCAACACAGTGGTTCAGTAGGTAGAGCTGTCGCCTCACAGCAAGAATGTCGCTGGTTTGAGCCTCTGCTGGGTCAGTTGACGTTTCTGTGTGGAGTTTGGATGTTCTCCCTGCTGTTGCGTGGGGAGGTGCGGTACAGGTGAATTGGCTAGGCTAAATTGTCCATAGTGTATGTATGTGTGCGAATAAGTATGTATGGGTTTCCCAGTGATGGGTTGCGGTTAGATGGGCATCCGTTGCGTAAAACATATGCTGGATAAGTTGGTGGTTTTTTCCCTCTGTGGCGACCCCTAATTAATAAAGGGTTAGGGTTAGGGTTAGCCGAAAAGAAAATTAATGAAATGAATAATATAATATAATATAATATAATATAATATAATATAATATAATATAATATAACATAACATAACATAACATAACATAATCTAATATAACATAACATAATCTAAAATAACATAATATAATATAATATAATATAATATAATATAATATAATATAATATAATATAATATAATATAACATAACATAATCTAATATAATATAATATAATATAATATAATATAATATAATATAATATAATATAATATAATATAACATAACATAATATAATATAATATAATATAATATAACATAACATAACATAATCTAATATAATATAATATAATATAATATAATATAATATAATCTAATATAATCTAATATAATATAATATAGTATAATATAATATAATATAACATAACATAATATAATATAATATAATATAACATAACATAACATAACATAACATAATCTAATATAATATAATATAATATAATATAATATAACATAACATAATATAATATAATATAATATAATATAATATAATATAACATAACATAACATAACATAACATAATATAATATAATATAATATAATATAATATAATATAACATAACATAATCTAATATAACATAACATAATATAATCTAATATAATCTAATATAATCTTATCTAATCTAATCTAATCTAATCTAATATAATATAATATAATATAATATAATATAATATAATATAATATAATATAATATAATATAATATAACAATCTAACATAACATAAAATAATCTAATATAACATAACATAATCTAAAATAATATAACATAACATAACATAACATAATATAATATAATATAATATAATATAACATAACATAACATAATCTAATATAATATAACATAACATAATCTAAAATAATATAATATAATATAAAATAACATAACATAACATAATATAATATAATATAATATAATATAATATAATATAATATAATATAATATAATATAATATAATATAATATAATATAATATAATATAATGTTTATGGGGAGTACAACAATCATTTATAAAAATCCCGTTATAGTTTTATATATCTTACTTTAATTATATACAGCTATTCAGCTAACATTAAAATGACCTGCATAGTTCCTCCAAAAGCCAACCCTCAAGAGGCTCTGATTAGTCAGCTAACATAATGTGCTGTAATTCACGGACCGGCTCCACGTCACCAGGGAAAGTGGCACGTACACCTCTGCTAGCATGCCCTGTGCCTCAGCTGTGTAAATACTGTCAGTCTGTGTAGCTGTTAGCTGTATCAGTTTGAGTCTGAATCAGACAGAAAATGAAGAGGACACAGCTTTCTGACCACTTTGGGTCTTTGGGTTATAAGCATTTATAAGTAATATGAAACGTTCATATATCTCTTGCGGGTTTGTTATTTGAGATGAAGAACACAGGGAAAGTGGCTGCATAGGGAGACACAGCAGCACTGCTAAAGATTGTGAGTGTTTACATCGGTTTGACAGATAAATATGAATTTGTAAATTTTTAGCGGTGCCAAACAGCATTTCCCATGGTTCACATCCTTGTTTACGTCCTTCGCTACAACATACTGTTAACGCTAAAACTGTGCATGTCATAGATCGATTTTAACAAATAAAAACACTTACAGGTTGTGGCTCACAATCCACAGCTTCGTCTATCCTGGTTGGAGCTGCTCCTTCTTTGAGGAGTTTTTAGCCGAATCCAGCACTAAACTGGAAAGTTATCCTTTGTCAAATGCTAGAGCTATATATTTTTTATAGTTCTATGGAACATAATTAAATTAAACTGTAAACACATCTCTTTGTGTCATGTCCTTAGTAAGTTTTATGATCTCATTAACCTGGATGTGTTTTTTTTTTTTTTTTTGTAGCCTCCAAACTTCATGCGCTTTTGCTTTGCTAAGCTAACTCTGTAGAAGCCAATGTCTCTCTTTGCATAAAATTTTGAGAGTATTACATTCAGAGATGTTGTTTATGTTCCAAACAGCTACATTACACATCAACAAAGTTTAAAATATGATATCGTTGTGAACCACCCCTTTAAATTTGAGTTGGGGAAACCCACGTATGAAATAAGAACTGTACTTCATGGCAACTTTAATAGCATTTCTTTTTGTTTTGTATCTATGAAATGACAAATTCTCCACATCAGTTATTTGCTCAGGGAGATTCTGTTGATGTGTATGTTGTGTTTGTTCAGATAGAGTATCAGAGTGAGGGTGTAGATGTCAGTCTGGTGGAATACGAGGACAACAGGCCCATTCTGGACATGTTTCTTCAGAAGCCCATGGGTTTACTGTCTTTACTGGATGAGGAGAGCCGATTCCCACAGGCCACTGACCAAACTCTTGTCGGTAATGAGCAATTCCATGCAAATGTCAACCTTGCCATAAACAAGATTAAGTTTTCATCCAAAATAGCGTAATGGTTTCTACATTTTTTTTGTGTGTAAGCAAGTATTATACAGTAGTTTAAAAAATACTCAAAAAAAATCTCTGTCAGTGTTTTCAATCAATTATATTTGATTTACCAAAGTCACACAAGTGCTGATTTCACGTCTGTCAGAGAGATGTCACATCCATAACCAAGCTTTTTCCACATAAATGCAAAAATATAAAATCAAATCAATCATGTTTGTTCTATAAAGAGCCGACTTCTCCTTTTGATTAGCATTGTTGTGCAGTTGAATTCATAGAATTTCTACAAAGTTTTTTGTATAGACCTTTTTCTTGGAACGCAAAATTACCCATTATGCTTTGTGTGTATGCGCAAGGAGAATGCGAAGAACTTCCGGTCACATTTGGACAGCTTTGAAACGCTAGTTTTAATCTATTTTACCTGCTTTTATCCTCTTTGAACTAATACTGTTGTCCATCAGCAGCATCTCCTGGACTGATCACTTAAAGAAATGCGATCTAATAGGATGGAAAACGATTGCTGAGGCATTTTCCCCTCGTTGTCAGACAGCATCTTCTGCAGTTTAAATGAAGCCTCGTCATCGCCAAAGTCAACATTTTCTCTTTATTTCAAATATATAACCAGCCCAAACAAATGTAGTTCACCAAAATGTTTGACACACACACGTAGCCTGTACTGTGCCACTGACACACTGATTTAATAACTGTGACAAAGTGAAAATATAGGCTAGTGTCATTTCGTAATGACAGAAAAACACAAACCGTTGTAAAAACAACACACGAAATAAAACTCAAACGGCTCACGATTAGAATGAACAGCAAATCAGCCAGCAGAGGATCAATAACCAATAACAGACTTTTATTGGTCATTTTTGTAAATTGCACTTTCGACTTTCATACCTGTTAAGTTTCATGCCAGTACTCTGGTTTGCTCTCTCTCTCTCTCTCTCTCTCTCTCTCTCTCTGTGTGTGTGTTAAAGAGCCGCTGAGCTAACAGCTGACAGGCCGGGAACACACACTGTATTTCTGATGGCAGACACGTGAACTAGGAGAACATTTTTCTTGTATTTCTGACGCGCTTGGACCACATGTGACAGATTATAACGCCTTTAACAGACACATTTCTAAGTTGCATGTCACAAAAACACTGTTATCCATTAAAAACGTTATTGAAACCCACTTTCGGAGCGCAAATTACCAGTTGTACACGCTGTGAATGGAAGTTGTAAGCATTCTACCGGAAGACGCTGGTCGCTTTGGCGCCCTCCATGCAGCAGCCATGAAAAAGGTCTAAACTGCAAATTTTTTGGTCACATCCATAACGCTGGTTTATCTTCCACATTTAAAACCTAAAACATGTTTACAGATTGATATTTTTCTGATCCCATAACTCTGTGGTAAGTTATATTGGAAAATGCAAACAGATCTTTCAAAGTAATCATAGACTTTCTTAAACTCTGTGAATTTGTGTTCTCGTTTTTTACTGCAAATATCACATCCATAAGGCTGGAATCGCTCTGTGTATTCATAAAGAGAACTCAACATTACTACTCAATTAATGTCAAATTGATTATGTTATGTTCAGAAGTAAAATCTTGTTGCTGATAATTGTTGCAAGTTGAGCAGTTGTCATGTTTCCACCCACATGTTTTAATGCGCATTTTGGAAAATTGCATGAACATTTTATAAATGTACATAGTATTTTTTTAATCCTGTAAGAAAAAATGCACCTAAACTGCAATGGAAACACATCTATCCAATACATTTCAGCATAAATAATACATTTAAGCATCAAAAAACACATTTCAGCATCAAAAAAGCCATGTGATTTGATTTTAGAAATCAGGTGCGCAATTGGACACCATTAATGGACAAACTAACAGAGCGAACACATTGTAAAACATCTGAAATGTTGTTTTGCTCATTCTAAAAGCCCTCAGCCAAAATCTGTCATCACAGTGGTTCAGTATTATTAACATTAAATTGCTATATGGATTTTTTATGTCATATTCCAGTTTTGCGCATCAATCAAAATTGCGTCCTTGGATAGAAAACATAGCCAATGTGTTTTAGGCTTTTTATGCTAAGCACAATCCGTATGTGGGATGACTGCAAAATATTCCTGCAGTTGTTATAACTTTTTGTTTGATTGAATGTTGATGATGTGTGTTAGTTTGATTCAATTCTCACCTTCTTTATTTTGTTGTGAAGATAAATTTCAGGATAACCTGAGGAATAAGTACTTCTGGATACCCAAGCGTGTGGAGCTCTGTTTTGGGATCCAGCATTATGCAGGCCAGGTAATGAGCTTGAATATTACTTTATAAAATCTCACCGTACAGCTTTTCTATATTTTTTAAAGAAGCTTTTGCTTACCATGCATGGCTGCCCTTATTTTATTAATATATTACAATTTAGAGGAGTCTTGAACTTTCTCTGTCCACTTGTAATGTGAGTCCAGCTTTCTACATCAAAAATGCATCATAACTTAAAAGTACTTGACTATTTATTGTACAGTTTTTGACTCCCAATCAAAACGCTTGGTTTAAATGGGCATGGCAGGCTGTAGACCAAAACGTAAACACTCTTTGCTTTGATTGGCTGGCAGTTTTGCATATTAATAAATTGAGATGAAATGACCCAAAAATGAAAATCATCATTTACTCACCTTTCCCTTGTTTCTATTTTATCTATCTAAGTTTCTTGTTAAAAACAAAAGAAGATATTTAAAAAAAGCTGATTGCTGACAATTATTGACTTCCATAGTAGTTTTATTTCCCATAGCGGTCAATAGATGTCAGCAACCATTCATTCATTCATTTGTCTTCAGCTTAGTTTTTATTTCAGAGGTCGCCACATCGAAATGAACCACCAACTATTTCAACATATGTTTTACACAGCGGCTGCCCTTTCAGCTGAATCCCAGTACTGGGAAACACCCATACACACTTATTCACACACACACTTGTACACTACGGCCAATTTAGTTTATCCAATTCACCTATAGTGCATGTCTTTGGACTGTGCGGGAAACTGGAGCATCAGGAGGAAACCCACGCCAACATGAGGAGAACATGTAAACTCCCCACAGAAATGTCAACCGGCCTAGCCGAGACTCGAACCAGGGACCTTCTTGCTGTGAGGCGACAGTGCCAACCACTGAGCCAAATGTTAAAAACTTGAGGAAGAGTAAATGAGGAGGCAATGTTTATTTTTGGGAGAACTATCTCTTTAACAGAGCTAAACAGGCAGTGAAGCAGAAGTAGGCGTTGACTGTCTATGGAGGCGTGGCTTATTCACTTTATGACTTCATAGAGTTGAACTTTCCAGAACCTGTGGTTTTGTCAGATGTCCTTCAATATAAGCTGATTTTAGAGGAACCGCAAAGTGTTGAGTTCTGAAACTTACAGGATGTTTTAATAGTACCATGAGCACTTATATGTCAAAAGATCAAGGGAAGTTTGGTTTTTTAATTTACTGGGCCTTTAAAAAAAAGGCAGCTACTTACACATGATCAGTCAGAAACGGTTTTAATATGCTGACTTACTGATCATGAAACATTTCCCGTTGTTATCAAAGTGAAAAGAATTGTACTGCCTAATATATTTGTGTGGAAACTGGATTTTTCAGGATTCATTCATACATAGAAAGCTTGGCAGTGTTTGTTTAAACAGAAATAATTTGTATTATTGTAGCTGCTGCTATTTTTTTTTAAGAATGAGGCCTTGGTAAATAAATGAAACTATAAACAAACTATTTTTTTATATTTAAAAAAAGTGTGCAGTAATTCAACTTTTAAAATGTCCTGTGTTTCTCTGCCAGGTCTTGTATAACGTGAGTGGATTTCTGGAGAAGAATCGTGACACTCTTCCTGCAGACATCGTGGTGGTTTTGAGGACATCGGAGAACAGACTTCTGCAGCAGCTGTTTTCCAGCCCTCTGACAAAAACAG